TCAAGGGGAAGATGGAGAACTCATAGAGACTGAGGTTGTAACAATAATGAGTAGATGCATGTGCGCCACTGTTCGCGACACCCAATCATATCAATCAGTGTCGCCAACTATCGGTAACCATGATCTCGGGGTCCCCAGCCAGGGAGCCTCACGGGGCCTATGTGACCTAGTCTCCTAGTTAGGATTTTCAAACCCTCATGCCAGGTTTTCGTTTGACCACCCTTGACCCTTTTCCAACCGTTACCTGCCTCGGCAAACATCGCTCGCCGGGGCAACCTTTTTGGTCACATGCGTAACACATGCTCCAACCAGCGTAATCTATGGAGGTCGATCGACTGCTCCAGTGGACGACCGCGACTGCCTAAAACTCTACACCCAACCTCAGCATTGCACGATCGGTTACCCCACCAGACTCGTGCGATGTGACTTAGACAGCGGTGTTCAAACACCGACAATCTATTTTTTATCCTGTTCCCGTAGTGGCCAAGATGAATCTACGTATCACGTTTACAAAGAAAACAATTGCCACTAAGGATGGAAATGCTCTTCCGTACTTCCCGGGCCTTCACATGGCATACTTAATACACTGTATGAGATTCGAATCAGCAACTCAAACCATGTTGTACAACATGCCAACACTCATTCACCTGACCCGTTTGGCACGGAGAGATTAACAAACTGTGACATGAAACAGACTCGGTGAATTACGGGGATACGGGAGGGAACGGCATTTTACAGCCAATTCCCTCCCCCCACTGCCCATTGTTAAAATCACCAAATTCGCACAACACTACTCTCCAGTGACTAAGCTGAATAATCATGGGACCTAAGAAGAAGAAAAAAAAGTGCCCCAAAAAGTGCACAGGGGCCGCTGACAAGCAAGTGGCCACCGTTACACAAGTATCGACCGTCCATTGTTAAGCTGTTTTAGTGGTTGTCACCGTCATGCACCGTCCCAGAAATCCCAAGGCCAGATAGTCAGTGCAATTGTGATTGTAATTGTAAATTCGGGAGCCATGAAGCCTACAGCTCAGTCAAAATTGTAAACAGTAGAGAAAAAGAAAGTTAAGTCTCGAAACGTTTGAAAGTCTGCGAAAACCGTTTTTTTTAAACCAGAATAAGTGTTAAAGAGGATATTGTGGAGTTAAGACATACATTTATACGAGAAATCCACAGTCGATCGTTGCACTAATCTCCTCCGAGTGCTGCACAGCACTTACTTCATACAGTGTTCGCCCAACAGAGGTATGGAATAAAAACAACAAGTTCACTATCACCACCACCACCACTTCCCTCACTTAAAATTTCCCTTTGCACTTAGTTCCTGATTAACGGTTCACACGAGTCCCACCCCACCCCAACCACGCAGATGAAACCGTATCAACCGTAGTACCAAAGACTAATTGGCCACCCAAATGTATACAAGCAACTGCTCAAACCTAGCTAGAGATAAGAGTGGAGTGATTTCTTTAGACTTACCCAAATCTCTTTGTTCGTGCACAGTAAATCGACGACCGGAAGAGGCCAGTGTGGACAACGACGGTGGTACTTGCCGACGTCGCAGCCACAGCGGCTCGATGCGAAACTCGTTCCGGGGAGTTACGCGTGGGCGTATACAGAGCACTGAATTGCCATATGTTATGGTAGAACCTTCCGGGTCTCTTACACGGACCCTTGAGAACCGGTCATGACAAGACTGGGTGGATGGACCAAAGGCAGAGTAGCTGTGACCAGAGAAACTGTGCCGGGACAGACGGTGTTGTAGTTGTTTCCGTTCGTATCGTCGACGCGAGGTTGGAGTGTTCTCTGTGTCACTCTCATCATCTCCGTCATTGGCCGTATCGACCGGCAACGGGTCGTCATTCGGTTCGCTGACTGACCCGCTGTCTGTGCCGTAGAGAGAAAATCCGACCCGACCGATGGGAGGACCTTGGGAAATACGTACGGGGGCCGAATCTGGTCGCCGACTACCGCAACGAGAATGACACAAGCATGAAGTGGTGGAGTTTTCATGAATGATGCCGCTTGTGTTATTTGACGTCTGTAGTGCTCCCGTGGAACTGGGCACAATGGATTGATGCTGGTCCGAGACCGGATCATGCGACTGGATGCCTCCGGCCTCAATAAATTTGACTGGACGAAATGGTGAGTGGTGAATGGGTAATGGATGAAACAGGGTCGGGTCCGTAGAGACTATGGTAGACTGCCACATCATACCAGGTGAGATACTCGCTGAGACCGAAGGAATGAGATGAACCTGTGAATTTTGGTTTTCTCCATCCGACCACGAAGTGACATGCGGAACACTTGGAGGCTCTGGATCGGTCAGATCTCGAACAAACATACGATCGCAAAGTTCCTCGTTTAGAGCGTTCGCACAACACAAAGCACCCAAACCGGCAGTTCTATCTATGGGTAGGTTTGGGGCCTGGACTGGAGCGTTCGACTCGTCTGAAGCCGGTTGACTTTCTGAATCTAAACGGGCCAAAGTCGGTGAAAAATGTGAATGCGTTTCAACAGTGCCGGTCCATGAAGAGAATCCACTGTCTCCAATGGAAGAGCACGTTTGTGAAGTTGTAAGGGACGAATACTCCACCGCGCTGGTTGTTGTTGTGGTAGATACAGTCCGACCNGATGTACGGGATGTCAAGAAAGTTTCATGCGATGGTGCCGATATCACGGCGTCTAATGACTCAACACAATTCACAGTATCCTCAAGGGAATAAGTTGGTGACAGTTCGCGTGGAACGTCTGTCAGCGGTTTATTGGCATCTTGCCCCAATGTCGATTCGGCGTTAGTAAGAAACTCGCTATCTCCCATTAGACAGCTGATAGATCATCCAATTGTGTTCAAATAGAGAGTGAATCAGTAAAAATTGTAGACGAAGTTCTTGCAAAGATCGCACACGAGAACACACGTGAGAACACGAGACACGCGAACGGTGAAATGATGTGCAAAGCGTGTCAACCCGAACCGGTGCATTGAATTGACCAATCACGCATCAGTCGATGTAGACCAATCAGGAGGCAGGATATTAACGACCAATCAACAAGCAGTACGCAGTGAACTGGTCGTTCTCTGGGTCGGACATTGGCTTGAGCGCGGCGGCTGAGTGATGGACCGTGCCACGGTCGACCGGGTGAGGGCGTAGGGGAGTTGAACGGAGTGACCATCGTGGGGGTAGGAAAAGGTACATCACCCGGTGGTACAGGGAGGCCAAGGATAGCATCACTAAAGGACGAGCGTTTTTTTCGCGAAAAAAATTATGGGTAAACACGTGTGTCTGCATGAATGTGTTGTTATTGTCGTTTGATCGTGCCCTTATCCAAGGACAGATTCCCTTAAAGATACAATACATTTTTAGTAAAACAGACCAATCATATTCTTGGCTCTGTTGTGATATTCGATGCTGTAGTGGTATCACTGGAGAAATTTAAAAAAATTAGGCAAACAATTATTTCCTCCCGTAAAAATCCTCTGTTTTAAGTGAGGGATTTTAAAAAGAAATAAAGAAATGAAACAGCGCATGTACAAGACCGTTAAAAACAACTGAGTCAATATTCCAGCTGAAGATGCCTGGATAAAATGCGAAATAACGTGAGGTTCTGTTTTGGGGAAATTGCCATTAATTTTTAACACCATTTTTAACACTTGAATCTCATATTTGCGTTTTCATTCGATGTCACTCCCGTTTATCTAAAAGTATCCAACCACCCCCATCTGTCCATTCCATAACGTGACTTGAAGTAACATTGACGCCCACGCCTTAATGTGTTCATGTGCATATATCGATCCTTTTCAATAAGATAAGGCAATTTTCGATTTACGGACTCAAGGTTACACAAATTTCTTTTGTGTTCGTGTGTGTATGTGTTTGTGTTTCCCACTTGGACTGCATGCCGATCTACGTAGGCGTGCATCCACTTGCGCAGATATTATACTTATTTTCAAACTGGCTTTAAAATTGGACCTTATCAGAAAAACAGAGAATTTATGTTATTTTACGGCGATGTTTAGGAAAATCATATCGCGTTCTAGTGAACTCCTGCTGTTCAGATGTTTGGATGTTATTGCCAAAAATGTTCTTTCATTTTGCAATAACTGTCGACCGGAGATACTGACCGACACCATTGATCCACGTGATCTTATCCTATCGCTATATATACCTTAATTTTTTTTTGTGGTATTCAGAAAAGGTTATATCTCACTAGAACTACAGCCACCACATATATCTATCAACATATGTATCTTTGTCAACCAGACTTCTCGACTGTTAAGAGGAAACGCGCACTTAGCTAACATTTTTCGTTGATAGTTGTCACTTCGTTTTACATGCTCTTCATCTGTCATGTTTCTTTCGGTGCACCAGATGTGATGAGTCTCAGCCTGTCTCTCTTCTTTACTATTTATCGACAGCTAAACCACCCAGATTGACAAAAATTGGTACGATGTTGACGCGTGCTTTGGACCCTGTGGTCTGAGGTTCGAGCCTCGCTCCCACCACCCAACTTTGGTGGTAGGCAGCTTTGCTGTTGCCCGGTTTAGTACCACACCTCACCTATCGGGGCCTTATGCGTTTTACCACTCCAAGTCCCGGGGCTTAGGGTACCGGTTTCCATCAATGACCAGCAGGTCCTCGTGGCTATTGGGTTCGCCCCGTCTGCTGCTCATCACAATTAGGTGTGTAAGAAAAAAAGTATCGGTTCCATAACATCCTCAAAAAGTATGCCATGTATTTTTTTGTGATAACCAACAAAGAGCGTTGGAAAGCTGTTTCGTTCTGTTTGGGACTCGTCAGCAGTGTGTACTTTTGGTGACCCTGTCCGGACTCGAATTGCGAACCTTCGGTTTGGGACTTCAGACTCTTACCCCTGACGATCATCACCTTGTGCGAATGGCTCAAGCAATTTTTAGAGTAGCAAGTTTAGATTAACAATGAAATGGGCTAATCCAAGCTTGCTACTCTAAAAATTCCCAAAATATATTCATATTCTGAATTCGTCGTGTAAATGAGGTATGAATTGAACAACTGGGAGGCATATACAACAAATGGTCAAGTTTTGAACTTTTCCAACCGAGTTATAATCCTGGAGGCTAGTGCTGAGATGAGTGAGGACCAATGCCCGCAACACGCTCTCAAAGATGAGTTGTGCTGTATCCTGTGTAATCAAAGTGAGAAACGGTTTGATCAGCTACCCTGTAGTCGAGTGGGTAGCATGCTTGCGTTCTGTCTGTGAAGTCCCGGTTTCGATCCCTAGTTGGGTCAATGGATTCGCGCACTGCCGATGAGACCCTGCCAGGTCGAAACAGCTGTCCAGTGCTTCCCAGCTTTTCAGCTCACGCCTCATTAACATGAACAATTCATCATATATTCCCATAACCGTTGGCCAAATTCATTGATCACTGCGAGTTGCTCATCCGTTTTTCCCCGATCCACATCGGTATTGGTCGCAGAATTTGACAGTGCAGTTCTTTTGTGCTGTTTCAAATCAGGGAACGATTGCGTCTGAATTGTATCGATGATGCGTTAGTGTCAGGCGCATACAATCACTGTTACTAACACTACACCCAAAGATACAAACCAGAAAGATGGAACTGGGACCATAGATGGTTGTATTCGTCTTTGGTTTTTCGTTAAGACCTAATTATATTTTCCTTTCTGGTATATATAAGCAGTTTTCGGATTAGATGATGAGTTGTTCATGTTAATGAGGCGTGAGCTGAAAAGCTGGGAAGCACTGGA